AAAAAGAGAAACAAATATATATAAAATTAATTATTGATCCTTTTTAGTTAAATTAAATAGTTAGATCGTTTATGTTTATGATAACTTATTTAATTTTTGTATTTGTTTTGTTTTCAATAAAATGGAAAAATTTTTTGAATATTTTGATACTTATCTGTTTTTATTATATTATTATATTATTATATTATTATATTATACAACAACAATTTGTTAAGACAAATATTAAAAATTTTTTTTGATAAAAATAAAAATTCAAGAATAAAATTTTGCTTTAATCATTATTTTCTTACGAAAAATTGAAGTCAACAAAATTTTAAAAAATAAACAAGTTTTATATTTTAATTACTAAAAAAAAAAATGATACAGTTTTATATCGTAATATTGCTAAAAAATTTCCTGTTCTTTGCTTTGCTTTTCATATTGTGTGGATTTGTTTCTAACATGAAGTTTATTAAATATTAGACAAAAGGCGGTAGTATAATATTTGTGTTTGTATATTATAAAATTCTCTAATTTTATTCTTCGGATAATAATATTATCCGTATGAAAATTGAAATTATTTATCTTTATTTTTTTGAAACATTATATTATTTTTTGCATTATATATTTATTTGTTTCAATAAAATAGAATGAATTTGTTTATTTTTGTAATTTTAAAAATTTCAAAAATAATTAATCATCCATATGTCATCCGAATTTTGGTTATAAATCAAGTTAAACAAATTTTTACACGGATCTTAAGATGCTCAAGATATTATAAGACGTAACACATATAATTAATCATGATAACGAATTGATGGCGTCATGTGATGTGCACCAATTATTATATAATACTATCATGATATACATTCTAGTGCAACGACGATTCCTTTGATCCTGCTAAAGCTAGGTACTTAGTTCGATCAAAACCGCGATGTAATTAGTCTATTGATATGAATGGAGATAGCGAAGTATACAATCTAGATAACTAGAATTAAATTATGAAATGTCTTTTTAATAAATCTCAATCTATACATTTATTTCACACATTATTGCAATTTTAGTATACAGATTAGAATTATTGCCATTTCTAATGATGTTATCAATAATAAATATTGATTAGTGATCTTTAATTGCTATTAACTATTGATTATGCATGACAAATGATATTATACATAATATAAATATAAATATAAACACAATTTTCTCTTGAATAATGCGGTTAAGGATGCTAACTGTTTGCATAGATCAGCGATGGATAAAATTTAAGTTAAAGTTAATAAAGTTATTTCAATAATTTATTATTCAAAATATAATAATAATAGCGAATAATTATATTATCAAACGGTCGACGTTATACGAAAAGCAAATCAATTATAATAACTACGAATAAATATTATTCAAACATTTTAATAAATACGTAAAGTAATTTTATTCGAAATTTTTAATTAGTTATTTTTTCAACGAGTTAATATCAAACTCTAAATAGTAAAAATTCATATAGTTTGGAGGAACCTTTCTCGTTAAGAAACTAACACATTCTATTTTTCTATAATAATCATTTTTCTATAATATATATATATATATATATATATGTATTATGTTACATTATATATATACATATTCTTAGAATAGTACATACAAAATAATATATACAGAATTTTAATATAATTATGAGATAAGTAAAAAATAATTTCTAAGGAATAGTTTTTAAAAATCAAAATAAATATAAAAGTTGATATACATTTTATTACTGTTGTTTATTCCTTAAATTATAAACTATATAAAATTGTGATAAAATGAGATAAAGATAGAATCAGATAATTTTATTCCAGTTATTACTTGCAATGACTTTAAATATCGTAAAAAAAAAAATTGTGTATAATCGAAATCACGTTCTTCGAAGGACAATTATAGTAATCATATAATTTCGCATAAGCTACATAATATATTATTTATTAAAAAGTTTATATTTTAAATCAAAACTATGAATAAAATAAATTTCGATTCTTTTTTAATATTACAATATTTGTTTTAACTATAAAATAAAAACTTAGATTGAATTTTTATTAAAAATTGATTAAAAGGTTCCTATTATATTTAGAATTCTCGTATTAGCCTCAAAGGAATAATAATAATTTTTTCTGTTATGAATGAATCACTAAAATGAATGAATCACTAGAGACTTATTGAGAATAAATTTCTACTATTAAAAAAGGGATGATAAAAATTCCTATACTTCTTCATAAGCATCGATTATTATTTTAAGGAGAAAATTTTCATATCAGTTCGGAACTTGATCTTTTTTATTGTTGATTATCAAATATCTTTTGTCTAATCTTGGAGACGTATTGGCTTAGTCTACACCTTCAATGTCAACGAAGATGAATGAGGCAATAAAAAGGCATAACTGTGATTCTAAATTTTCAGAATATTATCTTGTTTTATATTTGAAACATTTATTTCTACTATTTATGTAATTACATAATTCAAAATTATAAATGCTTTAATACAAAAATAAAATAAGAATTAAATTTAAATTTTTATAGAAATAATAATATTGATATGATAATAATTCAATTTCTAAAATAAGATAAAATCATATTAATTATTTACGAAATTCAATTCATTGTCTGCAAATTAGACTACCATTTAATTCTATAAATGAATCTAAAATAAATATGATTTCGTTATTATTTTATCGAAAACAAAAAATTGTTATTTATTTGATAATTTTGATATATTCAATTATATAGATTGATGTAAAAAAATAAATTATAATAATATATGATTTTATATTATAAGAATTCTAAGAGTTTATACTATAATTAGTTAAAATTTTTGTCGAATAAATATTATTTGCTACAACAGAGTATTATAGTATATTTCCATTTATTAACTTACAACATTCAATATTTTTCCAAGAGAGTAGCATACAAGCAATATTTAAAGAAAACTGATTTTCCATTTCAATATCGGTTGCCAATGTGATGAAAAATTGATTTACAATTTTCCTGATTCTAACGAATATATTTAATTTATAATGTTTGACAATTTTAAATGTTTGACAACGCATGCTATAATCAACGCGATAAGTTTAATATCGAGGTAAACGTAATCAACATTAGTTATAACAATGTAATATTGGCATATTTCAGACGTGGCCTTTGCAAGACTAGATTGAGCACATAAATTCTTATTAACTCGTAAAATGATTTATTATAGGATATGATAAAAATATCAAGCTCAATATGATAACTTATTGTTATATTATGTTGTTAATGAATTAATTAATTCAATTAATTAATAAATAATTAAATTGAATGAAATAACTATAACAGTTGATAGCAGATTTTATAATCATATACAAATAGAAGGAATGAGAATTTACACAATTATAGATGTTTCATAATTTTCTCGGAATAGCATATAGTAATGATATTTATATCATAAATGAAACGATTGTTTGTAAATAGATATTTAAAAAAAATATTTTAAAAATGACATGAATTTTTCATTCCACGTTTATGGTATCCATATTTGATTAGAACACAAGAAATACGTATTATGTATGCATCGTGGATAATATATACCGGTAAAATTTTGCAAATTCATGAAAATTCAGTTTAACTCATGTCTAAAAAAAGAAAGACCGATTTCAATTAATCACCGATCACATTTGGAAGCTTGTTATTCATATTATTAAAAAAATTCATTCATGAATTATACAGAAAGGATAATGGAAGGAAAAGATATACTATATATATGAAAGAAGAAAAGAACATGTATAATCGTAAAACTTAATAACCTATAGAGATCGAAAAAAATATGCGATTTTAAACGAAGATATGCGAAGACAAACATTGTTAAAATATATTATGTAGTATTACATTACAAATGTTATGTTACTATAAATAAAAATAATGTATGTCAATACTCACATTCCGGTAATTTTTTGTTGTAACCAGGGTGGAGGATACAGTTAACACGCGGGATACTTCATACCATTTGACAACATACAGAGCGCGGCAGCATACAGTAGCCATCCTTTTCTAATATTTTCTCTGTCAAAATTTTAATAATGAATATTTCAAAACTATTTTTTTTTTCACGAGTCACTTTACACCCAACACTGAGAAACGAGCAACCGACTTCAAGCAACTACCTACGTCGACGACGGGCGGCATCGCTTACCGACTCGTCCCTGCGACTCCAGACCCCGACCTTGCAGCGGCCAATAGCGTGACATGCGCGAACCGCGCTTTGTTACTTGCCATTGGTTCGCTAGTTTCGAACCAATAAACACTGTACATGATTATTCGCGCGGAATATATTGAATATTTGAATTGCTAATCCGTAGATTTTCTATTTATCTGATTATTTAACATATTAACTCTTTACAGATGGGTACTCTCTCTATTCCGATTCTCGGCAGATCGAGGATATTTTACATAAAATAAGATTATAAATTATAAAAATCTAAATATTAAAAATAAAGAATATTTCTTATAATTTTAGTATTAAAAATTGAACATTATATACATCAGAACTTAATTTAACTTAATTTAATTTTATTTAATTGTTTAATTATAATTTCGATGCTGTAACGATGATAAAGAAAATTAATTTTAAAATATTGTTTGAACGATAAATAAATATTTCTTTTTAAACAAATAAGATTATCTAATCTTATTTACATCTAATCTTTATATCTATCTATTCTAAAAAAAAATTCTTATTAATATTTTATTTTGTTATTGTTAGTTTTTTTAACTTATTAATATCAAGTATTATTAATATTTTTTTTTATATTATCGCTATTTTTTTCGATTCTAATAATATGATAGGTGCTATATCATATGTGCTCGTGGCAGCACAAACGACAAATATCAGATTATGTCTAATCAGTGTTAAACTTTGACATTTGTTTTAACCTTACTAAATTTATAATTCCTTTTGTGTATCGTGAATCAGAGAATTGTGCTTTAAACGGATAGCTTTTAGCATTTTAATAATGTAATCAAAGATATTAATTTTGATTGATTCTTTTTCATTGAAGGTATGACTAACATTTTGGATTTCGACTATTATTTTTACGATTATTCGAATCGTACTCAAGCCTTAGAAAATATAATCGCAAACATTCCCACATGGTTGAGTTTCGTTCGTATTGTTCTTGTTATATTACTGCGTGCTGGTTATGTATTAATACATATTGGTAGTGTACCAGTGAATAACATCAACTTAATTTTATTGCAAAATATTATTGACATTTGCTGGATAACGATGATTTATTCATTACTTGGAATTATCATCGCCTACACTGGCGACGTACACGGTGTGATAGGCGCAGGACATTGGATTGGTGACCATGATGTCGATAAAGACGAACTCATAACCGGCTGGTCAGCTGTGGTAATCACAGCTGCAATTTGCACGAGCGGCATAGTTGGTCGGACACATACCGTCGGTTATATTATCATAGGATTTTTGCTGGCTGGTATAGTGCAACCATTTTTAATCCATTGGATTTGGACACCTCATGGATGGATGCGAAGAAATGTATTAAATAAACAACACGTTCATTTTCACGATTATACCGGATCTGTGGTTATTCATGTCCTTGGCGGATTGACAGGATTGATAGGTTGTTTGACACTTGGACGAAGAATACTTCGCTTAGACGCTATAGATGAAGCAAGTATTGCTGTCGGTGCCTCAGGAAATGTTTTTGCTGGTTATTTACTTGTGTTTGTAGGTCTACAGGTAAAATTATATATTATTAATATATTAATATTTTCAAGTTTTGTTTGCAAATCTATATGGAAACAATATGAATTATTTTCGTTGATTATTTTGATCTGTTTAGAGCCTCAGTTTGACAAATATTCAATTAGAACATTTCGAAATGAAAATTAAAAGAAAACACAATGTCTTTGTCAACAATATATTGGCCGCGAGTGCGTGCAGCTTATTTGTTGTAATCTTTCATTTTGCATATCCTCAAGAAGAGTTTAACCACTGGACTGTAATGAGATGTGTACAAGCAATGATAGCTGGAGTAGTAGTAATATCTGCTGGAGCGGATGCTTATTCTCCATTGGCAGCGATTATTCTGGGCGCAGTCGGAAGTATCATCTTTTATATAATTTCGAGATATATATTTCGAAGTGCACTTGAAGATTATTGCAACATTGTAGCTACTCATCTGGTCTGTGGTATATTGGGAACTGTCTTAGTCCCCTTTTTTTATGTACAAGAGGATGATGATGTGAAATTAGTTTTATTAAATTTTGGCTGGCAAATGATTTGTTTAATCGTAGTAATTGTTTTAGTTTCAATTATTATGTATATTGCCTTTATTATTCTGCAATTTGCCGGTTTGCTAAGAAATAGATCGGAATATTTGAATCATTTAAGAGCTAATGTAGCTGAAGGAAGAAATCAAAGAAAAAATCTGTTAGATAGATTGTTCCGCATGGATAGAGATGCCGTTTATCTTCAACCGGGTATGAGTTTTGGCGAACCACTCGGTCTTCGTAGAACACAAGAAAGAGAAGAATAATACAGACCAGATGAAGCGAAAACTTAAAAAAATCATTAATTTATATAAAATATAAATTTTTAAATATTTATATAAAACCGACTAATCAAATTATATCAATTAATGCAAAGAAAAGGATTTGATTTTACTTCAAAAAAAAAAAAAAAAAAAAAAAAAATTAAGAATCTCTTTTATAATGAATTTTCAAAATATATAACAATAAAAGAATAGTTATAAGAAATTCAATATCGAAGATTTTTAACCCTTGTTTTATTAGAACTTACGGATTATTCGTACAGTTATTACAGTATTTTACAATAGAATAATTTTAAGTTAAATAATTAAAGTTTCTATTAAAGTCATACACATATTCTACACGCGTCTTTTTTTTATTCATACAATGACAGCTTTTCTCTCTTTTTCGTTTTTTCGTTTACACAACAGCCTGTTAGGACATCTACAAAATGTTATTTTTCACGCGTTCATTTATATAATTTGAAATGCAAATACGCGCGTGATTTTACATAAGCAATATTTTATCGTTGATTCACTTTTAACTTTGTGTAAAATATTAGTGATTTATTAATTTATTGATTTATATACATAAATATAATGTAATTAGTGTTCGATAAATGAAATGAGTACTTAATAATTATAATTATAATTGAATAAATTACTTAACAATTATAATTTTAATACAACATATTATTTCAAACATTTACATCAACAGACAATATTTAAATAAAAAAAATTAATGAAATTTTATTTTATAAATTAAAATTTTATCTGCTTTCGAAAATTTTATTATATTAAAAAAATGTTTATACATATAGCAGAACCAACGATGAAATAATGCTAATTGGAGCATTTAAAACTTCATATTCGAATACTGAATATCTTGCTATAATTTTAGCGATTTCAGTTTGTCACATATTATTGTCAGCTAGTAGCAAATCGGACAATTTTTGCTACCGCCATGCCGAACAAAATCGAATATAATATTGACTCTAGAGATCCGACGCCGCAATTGGTACAATAATACAACTGTATATACAACACTGGTAAAATGGCACGATTTGACAAAACAAATCAATCGTTTAATGTTAATACCATTATCATTAATTATTATTATATTAACAATAAATTTTGTACATGTGATTCGTTAAACGTCACGTGATACGTTTTAACGGCAGTATAAAAATGAAAACAAAATATACAAAATGTAACATAACATTGATAAAGTAATTCGTAATATAAAATGTTTCATTACTGATGATACATGATATTTTTTAAATATATATTTTACAGAGAATGACGTTATAATTTTTAATGTACATTTTGGATCAAATATAAATTTTGTAATGTGTATTATTTTTACGATGATCAAATAATTATAAATAAATATTTATCATGTTAATCTTTTTTTTTATTTTAAGTAACAAGAATTTTTTAAAACGAGACACTATTATATAATTATTATAATTTATAGATGAATAATATTAATCAATATTAAAATAATGCTAAAAAATTAGCATATCAGAAATAATCGGATCAAATTTAACGAATTAAATCTAGTTATGAAGAAAATAAAAATTAATATATCGTATCTATAAGTAACGAAGATAGTTGTAACTGATATGCTTCCAACAAATAATTATCGTCGTTAGATTATTTTGTGAATAACACAATTTTATTCACAGCAGTTGATCAATTTCCACGATATACGATTCATTATAATACATCAGGTATTAAAGTTTCCAAAAATCTCATGATTTTCTTCAACAATGAATAAAAACTATTTTATTTTCAAACATAGGATTATTATTAAATCCAAAATTTGTATGTTTTAAACGTGATAGTATGCAATTATTGCAAATAGGCAGTTATCACTTCTCCACTTAACGTCATTATTCGCCAAAAAATGATCATCAATAATCATTTGTGAAATAGTTTCTGATTTTCCATCTTATTAAGTCATTATGATACATCTATAATCACATCAAAACAATACAATACATAAATGTACAAACGGACGCGATCATACATCTTTTATCGACTTTCTATCAGCAGTACCAAGAATAGTATTGTCAAAATATACATAGAATCATCATATAGCTTTTTTCTTGTTTTTTATTTATTTACTTTTTTATTTTAATACGCTTACAACGAGAATTAATGTACATCGTGTCTCTGAGAGAGTAAGTGGGCGAGAAAAAAGTTCAAACTTTCCAAAAGTCTCACACTCGCAGAAGCAATCCTGCAATTAGTACCAGAAGTGAAGGACTGACGGATCGTCGATTTAAATATCAACAAATTCGATTTATCCATTAATTATTTTCATGAGGAAATAAATCTCTTCAAACATTGCAACACGATTTGGACAGATCTTGTCTCACAAAAGTCAAGTTTCTAAAATACAATTTTTTTTTTTTTTGATCGCTTCTAATTTCACTCATTAAAGCATCCTTCTTCTCTTTACTACTCAAATTTGTAAAGAGTCATTGTACCCGAGTCGACAAATTGTTTATGATTATCATTACGCAAAGTCAAAATGTGCGTTTCTGTTTGTGGTCTTTTGATTTATTAATTATATTGTCGTCTTCTTCGTTGAAGAAAAATATGTTGTACTAAGATTGAAGAAGAATTTAACTCGAGTACAAATTAGGAATTCTCTTTTTTTCTTCTTATTATATTATAGTACTATCTTTTAGTAGTAAAGATCAGAACGAAAAGCGTCCAATCATTACAGACGGATGATGGCACCAGCGAACGGGCTGTACTCTTAATAATCATGTTTTCTACGACGCAACAACGATGACAATAATAATATAACGTTAATAATAGTGCTATTGGCTTAACAACGATCGACAGTCACGATTCACCTTAAAATCGTTTAGTGACTAGTTTCGCAGGCTTCCCACGGATCTTAGGCCAAACCACTGGGATAGGCCACTGCAATGGTCCTTCCGTCGAGGATTTGGAGTCCAGTGGAATATATCGAATGTACAATTATGTTACAGATCTTCAGCTAATAACCGGTGAATTTCGTTCACCGTAGAGATAAACAATTCAGAAACGGTGTCGTTTCATATAATCGACGTTTGCTAGGTCATCACCGTGTCGGTAAGATCTTCCTTCAGCCATTGTGGGATAGTTCTCAACCCGAGCCGTTTCAATAATTTCACTAGAGCCGTGTTGTGGGATAAATAATATCTCTGCAAAGAAACAAATAGATTAAACCGATCATCCTTTCAATTTTTTAATCGTTTTATCATAAATACCTGTAATAATTTGTACGATTTATCCTCCATAGGCGGATATTGACGGCCTTTGCTCTTGCCAAGGCATTTCGTTCGATCCTCATTGGTAACTTGACAAAAGAATCCTTTCTTCGGATCGTACCTCAAATGAGACGAGTAATTAAAAGCGGGCGTGATCTTGAGGAACCTTTGTAACTCGTGCAACGTCTCTACAGGATTTTGTCGCAACTGTTCGCCGTCTATAATGTGCAATTGCTGAGGCGGATAATAGGAAAGCCATCTTTCCAGATGCTGAGCGTATTTTCCGGGATTTAAACATCTGTAAGAGATTCGAACAATAATATTTGTCGCATCTATCTTCTCGAGTACGATTAATATTTAACCATATAAACATAGATGTATTCGAACATCTATTAGCAATTTAGATCTTTGCTTATCTATGGCAACAAGATAATACTATTATTTAGCTATTCAGTTATTCAAGAATTTTTTAGCGACTCGTTATTTTATTTGGAACAACTATAGATAGTACAGTGCTCGTTGCAACAAAATTATTCGAATGACTGTACAATATTATAACCTACCTATTCCTGAGATCGCGTAGGGGTTTTGGTGCTGTATCGCTTGCAGTGATAACCGAGTGAAAGGAATAATTATTTGCTACAGGATCGCCATGAACTCTCGTGTGCTGGTACCATGAATAGGCACGCCTAGCAGGCGAAAGTAGTATAGTAATTAATTTTGCTCTGGGTAGAAGAGCGTGAGCTCTGCGTGGTACTAACTCCCCATCGAAATAAGTTGCAGATTTTTCAAACAGATACCGCGAACTCTCGTTTTTCGATGCTGGGAAGAAGCTCATGTACCTGAGGATGAAACAGAATGATAAATAAATGTGAATTGATATGATTTGCGTGTTTCTAAAGTTGAAAAGAATCACGCGTCCAACCACCATGGCGATTATGCCAATACCAACAGAATTATCGATATTTATATTTTGTAATAAAATATATATTTTATATATATATATATTAAAAAGTATATATTATATTAAAATGTATCACATCGAAATTAATAAATGTGTTAACTTCTTAATTTCACCTTAACTCACCAATCAAGGCCTTTGTAATAATTTTTCCCATTGAAGAACTGAATCTCCTCGAAAGTGTCAGGACTTGGCAAATTGCTGCTTATCGCAGGATGAATGGAGAGGAAAGTATAGAGAGCAGTAGTGCCAGTTTTTTGAGGACCAATTACCAGAAACCTTGGTAGTTGGTCGCACGTCTTGTTCCTCGACCAAATCTTTTGATGCCTCTGATCATCACAGGGATTCTTTAACACGAAAGAGAAACTTAATTATTCGCAACTTGAAAAATTATTATACTTGATATTATATAGCAGTATAATAACAACTTACACCCCACACAGGATCAGATTCCTCAGGATAGAGTTGAAAATATCTTTCCGCTAATTGAAGAGGCGGTGCACTGGATAATCTCAAATTCGTCCAACATTGGATAAATTTAATCACAGACTCGAAGGTGTACAATGCCAGACGATCGTTTCCATAATTCGACATGTGCGTCATAAAAATATTGATCTGAAAGAAATGATAATGAATTTGAGAAATTTTTCCAAAACAAATTATAGAATAAGTACTGGATTACCTACAGGATTGTGAACGATTGTCTGGAAGAGTTCGCCACCCTGTATCGATCTGTCCAGTTTCTCTCTTCCGCCTGGATATCTATCGATGAAGATTGTGTGTGTGAAAAGGCCACAGGTTTGTCTCGGTAGAACCTTGCACAGAAACAAAGAAAAGAGATTGTCACGCGTTTCGTTTTATCGTTTAATTCATCGCAGTATAGAATTGTTCGCTCCAGGGAAATCAATCCTTTATTCTTCTTTATCGGTTCGATGGTTGTTTAACCGTCGAAAAATCCACAAAAGAAAGAATTCACAAAAACGAAAAGACGTTTCGCTTGCAATTTTATCGCTGTCATGTCGTTTATTTGCTATATCAAGTCGATCCATCGATTTTTATCCTCAAGTTTTGAAGTATTCTTGTTCCTCAATGCGAGACAATGCGAATAAAAGTGTTGAAAAAGTGTTGATAGTGGAAAATACGAAACTGTGAAATTATCGATTCGTTCGTTTGTTCGATTAGGAATTCGTTTATTGCTTTAACTTAGTTTTCGAACAGGCAAGCAGTTAACGTCGAACAATTGACATTGTAATAGAAAAATAGAGAAAAAAAATTGTTCAATTCTCGAAAAAGATTATTCAAATTGATTCGATTTAATAAAATGTACTTTTTTAATAAATATTGTAAAAGACTTAGATATATCAAATCTTGTGTTGTGTTTATTATAATAGAATTTTTTTTTAAATTTTATTGTTGTATTATTTTTATATAAATTGTTTTATAATACACATGTTATTGTTAAAAAATTTTTAATCTTAAATGGATCTTTATTAATTAAATGTTATTTTATTTCTTAAAAATTATTAAAAAAAAGAATAAATTATAATCGATGTTAAAATAATGATTAACGAAAATTTACCATTATATTACGATGAATAAATCCTCTTCTTAATCGAGCTGGCCTCAAATGGGGATACTCTTCTGTGCTTGTGACTTTGATGTTCCACACTCTTTTCCACGCTTCATATAATCCTTCGTGGACCGGATAAACGCCGGAATGATGAGGACTTACGCTGTAACCGCTTCCTGTTGGAATTCCGTGGTCTTTCGCGAATTGTTTGTTCAACGCCATGTCTAATTGTAGATGCGTTACATTCTCGTAAAGGTGAGGTTGTTGATGATTCCACATGTGAGAAAACCACGTAAATCTGCAATTTAGATAATGTTGATTTTAATTTGAAAAAAAAAAAAAAATATATGTCGAGTAAAATTGATTTTTAAATCTTTCTAATTAAACGATTAAAAAAAATTTTATTTCAAAAAATGGAGGCGAACAACTTTATCTATTTATTTAATCAAAGTGTACATAATCGATTTTAATTGCTGTGGAGGAAAGCAATTACTCGAACAAATCGCGACGATTCGCAAACAAGTGCAACTTCCGCGATCAACCGTAATACGTGTACGGTCTCAATACGTCAATTTGCGCCAATAGTAAATCTTTCTGCGCTCTGTTTACCACCCTATTCGCGCAATAACTTTCCGCCAATTCCATTTCCCTCATCATACGCGTCGTAAAATCCATTCACAAATCGTTCTTAATTCAACCGTAGAAAGACATTAATCTTGTAAACATGTGATATTACTCATCTCTCGTTCTATTTTATCTTGTTTTTTAAACAAATTACCTTAAACTGACTTTTATCCAAATACTATAACTAAGATTTCTCATCTTATCTGAAAAGACGATATCTTTTGTTATTTATCGATAAACAAAATATCAAAAAAATATATATACCTGTCGACGTTCTCCAGAAGCATATCGTCCCCCAGATTTTCCTCGGAGGTACCGTGATGGAAATATTTTCCAGAAAACCCCAAGTTAAATTTGAAACCAGGTACCAACGCTTGGATCCTCTGTTGGGTAATCAACAGCGCCATCACGTCGTCCTTTCTTAATCTCGTTCCCTTCTCACCGACGAATATATCATCGACGTCCACCAAGATCATGCGATTAAGGCTTAGGCTCAACTGGCCGTGGGACAAGTAGGAAAGAGAGTCGAGCAACAACAAGTTGTGTAACCAGAATCGTAATCCTCCGCCAAAAAAGACTCTCTGAATCCCATCGTATCTCCCGTGATCCTGCAATAATAAAAATCCAATGTAGGTTCGTTAAGTTTATCAGAATATGATATAATCTGATCTTTGTCATTTAAGAGACAACGTTCGATATATATATATATATTTATATCTTTTTCTATATTTCGAAGGGAATGAGCGAGAATTAAACGAGACAGTTCGAAATAGCTCGTTTACTAAGCTGATAACGAGTTCCAGGTATTTAATATATCGATCAAATTTCGCGGATAATCCTAGCGCATAAAGGGGCCACAATGAATAGTGAGGAAAAAATGGAGAGAGGGAGAGAGAGAGAGAGAGAAAAAAAATACATACTCATCGGAAGGAGGATTTCCGTGGAAATTAAGGTTCGATATTCAAGCGGATTTCGATCGTTCTCGGGTTTTAACAGGTTATGAGAGGGGCAACTGGAACGCTAATCTCCTTTTAATCGCTTTCAAGAGCGATATATTCGATTCGAATTGCGATTGTATTCTGGCATGATCGTTATTTTGAATAGAGAGATTTCACGTTTTATATGTGGTGGAGTAAGCCTGATTTTCAAAATAAAAATTTTATCTCTATTGAAATATATACAATGTATTTTTTAATTTGAGTAAATATAAATAATGCATAAGATTTTCAAATTCAAAATTATTGAAAAATCAGGATAGAGTTTATATAATATTCTTATTTGTATATTATGAATAATTAATTAAAAGAAGAAATAGTAAAAAAAAAAAAAAATATTTAAGAAATAAAAAAATTGCAAATCACAAATTGGCTCTTATAATAGATTTGAAATAATATTCTAATATATATTCCAAATTAAGATTTATATTTTAAACTTTATCATATAGAATAGTTGATAACTTATTAGAATTTTATTTTTATTTAATCAAAAGAACTATCCTTTCATCGATCAAACCATGTTAATCATATTAAATTAGATTCTCTCGCAAAGAAACAGAGTTACTTAAAGCTTTTCTCCTTTCCTTTCTCTCAACATAGTTCATCGATGTTGAAAACTCGGTTAAAAAAAAAAAAAAATGAAGTCGATTATCGATCATCGCACGCGTCGATCGATGATCCGTTATGTAAAGTAGGAATTGTTCATTGGCCGCAGTGAAATTATGGTGATCTCGTTCCACTTATTTTTCATCGAACGATTGCGTGCAACGTTAATGGGTTTGCGCGCGTTTGACGCGTTGATGCTTATCGATCGGCGCGTATATAAGGGCGCGTTAATTTCAAAAATGTTTTGCTTCGATGTATTATAATAATGCCTTCCAACAACTCTATTTTCCTCGACGAACACGATATATCTAGATGCGATTTCCAAGAGAAAATCGCCATTTATGAAACACAACGCATTTTTTAATAGTGATTATTATTTCGATGAATATTATAGTAAGTCTTTATTTTTAACATGAGATGCTAATAAAATGTAATGTAGAACAATAATTATTTTTGTTTGTTGGAATATCTATATTGCAAGTTGCAATAATTATTTATTAAAAGTATTACCTCTGTATCGATGATTTTTAATATAATGTCATTTTAAAAATCGTCATCTTGAATAATATTGTGAAGATTTTATTTAATACAATTTAAATTAATTTTAATCAGATTTATTGCCAGATAATCGATGACCCATCGCTTCACGATGGCCAAATTAAGGAATCAAATTTAATTCAAACAATTGGTTAACAATTAAAAGAGTTTTTATTAATTCTGATTTGAAGTGAAATTAAACTCAGAATTAACATAAATTATATGGTTGAGTTAAAATAAATTAAATTAAATTAAATTAATGACAATTTGACAATCGTTTCCTTATTAATATTAATAAATAACATTTTAAAAAACAACGAATTTTAACTAAGATTTTCACAACAATTTCAATGTGACATGTTAAAAAATCATTGAAATCGAAAATCGTGGTATCTTTTTATAAATATTTCAAGTTGCGTTCAAAACAGAAAAAAAATATAGAAATTTAGTTAAAAATATATTTAGAATATATGTATATGTAATTTTTATTCACAATAATGAATATAGATCTATATAGATAGAATCCAATATAGATCCAAAAACGTTTGAAAATTGATACATGGAAAAATTTTTTACAGAGGATTAATTTTTGAATACCAAAAAATATAATAATCAATGTATATGTATATATCAATTTTTTTAGAATTTTCAATGTAACCAACTTATCTAGCAATCCAAGCAAATCAATCAGTTTGAATATTAAGCTGTGGGCGGAGAAATCGTCGTTCGACCAATCTGAATGATCTGATTGGTTAGAAAAATTTTCTATTAAACGGAGAATCCAGTTTTCGAATCCGATGGAGGACGGATTTCGATTCTTTTCCTAACGATAAAAGCGAACATTTCCATCAATAATCTTCTTTTCATCAAATAAAGCGAACGTTTTATTAATCGAATTTCAAGCTCATTTGCTTGAAAAGAAAAAGAAGAAGCCATGAAGAAATTGTCGAGACGTTGAAAAGAGCAATTCATCAGTGGCCTCGATATTTAAAAAAAAAAAAAAAAAAAAAAAAAAGACACTTTATGATTGATAGCCGAGATTTCAAATGGAATGGCTCGAAATTCTGTGTTACTTATTCTTTACGATGGATCCTTTATCAAGGATGTGATCGGTGGCGTTATCGCGAGTTCTGGAAGCGAAATAAATTGTCAGCACGAATAGCGACAAACGAACCCGGTCCTGCGTCGATGCTCATTAATCGAATGAACCAACGGCTGATTGGCTCCTGATTTAATTACCTGGCTACCTGTGATCCGTGAATCTCTGGCCTATCAGCCATGGCTATATAATGGGGTTATCAGCGAGATTATTATTGTTGTTTACTGCTAACAAGCTCTGTTCATGGAGAACGTTTCAAAACGCAGCCCGGCCAACTGAGAATTCCTGGTTGGTTGTAGTGCAATTAACAAATTGCTTGTTTGGGATTATCTTGAATCGGCGACGAATGCGCGTATGCGAGAAGTGTATACTCAACGATATAATCGACGATGTATCAATTTTAGATAATTAAAATTTATTGAATTTAATATTAATAAATAAATTTTTTTTAAAAAACATAAGTTAAAAATTAAATATTATATAATAAATAACAGAATAGATAATTTTTCTAATTTATGTAATTTATACAATTTAATATTTAGTGCAATGATATCTTATTTATTCTCTAAATCGTAAAAAAAGAACAAGAAGAAAATGGATATCACAAAATATGTAAAAATATATATGAAACATTTCATTTCCTTTTGATAAATTAAGTTCTACATTAGACAGAAGATATAGAATTATCCAAGAATTTTTTCATTCCATTGTCTTCTAAAAGAAATTCATCATTATTTAAAAGATATTAAGATATTAAGTCGACAATAGAAAAGATTTATTATCATTATTAGAAGAACTTGATTTGAATTTTTTTTCATTATCATCTAACGTTGTAACGTGCTATTAGATTTTGTAATATCCTAAATTTTATGTAGATAGATCAATTGAACGATATATCTGCTTTCAACGATAATTTTATTCAACTTCAAACGAATGCTAAAATTTGCTCGACAATTTCAAGAATGATGTTTCTACTCGCAGAATTTCTACTGTGAAGGTCCTAAATCTAAATATCCCTTGCTCATACATTTCTAGGGTTGCGGTCCCTAAATCTACTTATACCCGCCCCTAAGTCGCACGATCCCTGAATCTACGTGCTCAAGCGGTACGCAAGTGACACGATATCGCCGCAAAATTTATCAGACGTGGAGACATGATGGCGTTCAAAAATTAAAAGACAAAAAAAAAGAAAAAAGGAGAAGCTCTTTTTCCTTTTTCTAATTTTTAATAAAAAATTTTCTCAATTTTTTCCGGCGGACGGAAAACGAAGCGAATCCATCGAGGATATAAGATACGCGAATATAAGATGGCCATGTAAAAGCAGATGATATCACGTCTAGACTGTTTATTATATCAGATGAATATTTCCTGTTTGCATGGTGGCGGAAGTTCTTCGCGTCAAGAAAGATTCGCTGTCAGTGTCTTCTTCGCATTTGTATCTTTGCGTCCCGTATAGATCACCGCCGCTTTCATCCGGTACACGCTCAGCTTCCGGCCGAGCCTTTACATCGTCGTGGAATCTCGCAATCGCGAATTCCAAAGCGAATGTAAAACGGCCCTGAATGTGAAACAGCTTTACAGATTGTACTCGAGGTCCTGCCTGTATCCTATCTCGCCCCTGCAATAACCTTTTACCACCCTTCCTTAATTTTTCTTCTTCGTATTTTTATATATATATACGATCCTCACAGCTCGTTTAATCTGTCCATTTTTCTTCTTCTTAATATCCCATCTCCGTCACACGTTTTCCATTCTCTGACAAATATTCACCCGTTTTTATTTTACCCTCACTTTTACCCCAATTTGCATTATTTCACGTTTATTATTTCGCTCTACTGTTGTTCACCGGCCACAGCTCCATTTCAACTTTATCTTCGGTTTATTCTCCCTTCATCTTATTAACTTTCTTGGTTTCTTATTGTTTAGTTTTTTTCTCCATTCTAGATATCGTTTAAATCGTTATTTAACATTAATCGTTTTAATTTTTATAATCTGCTTATCGTGTATTTGTGTTTATTTCTTTGTAATTTTTTTCGATTTCTTTAATTTAAAATTTAAATTTTACAACTTGCTTGCGTATCTTATCTTGTTTATTACTTTTCCCTCTTACTTTAAAAGATTATTTTCCCTTTATGATTCTTTTTCTGTTTTGTTAAATTTATTGTTTTTTATTTACTACTCCCTTCTCGCATTCCAGCAGAATGTTATTTTTTTTGCCATTACTTTCATTTATTTTCTTCATTCCTTCTGCATTACTTAGAACCACATCTCCCTCTTTCATACTCGAAACACCATTTCTACTCTTACTATCCTCCATCTTCATTTTTGCAGAAGAGATTCAAGACATCGTTCGTGGAATGAAACTAGGGTGGCGTTTTCACATTTGTTTTCGTTTCCTCGGACTAACATTTCTTCAGAAAATAAGACTTCTACGAGAGGAAGAGTCTTGTCTAAGAGAATAGCTTCGCAGAATTGTTTCCTGATATTTCGATTAATTTACAATCTATCTTATCGTATAGTTTGGTATTTTTATTGATATTATTAATCTGAATATATCATAAAACGTTGTCTAAGTTTTTGAAAAAATTAATTTTCAAAATAAGAAATGACTTCGAAATGAGAATGCAATATATTTAATGTATATTCATAATCTAAAATTAAACTATCTCGTTTAATATTTTCAAATAAAATGTAATCTAAAAAAATAATCTTTTTTTTAGTTTATTTTTTTGCAATAACTTCATTTTTGAATGAATTTTGAATTTTGAATAAATCTCGAACAATCTTTTCAATTTAAATCTTTCTTTGCAATCTTTCGTTTTTAAAAAAAAATTCGAAAGAAATTTCACGACCCAGAAATCAAACCCATCATCTGTCGACCAATTTACCTCATTCTAATCCTCAAACTGATCAGAGGTCAATAGCAAAGGATTCCAGTATTTTCGCGTGTTTACCGAAGTTTACCACGTTTCTGCCACGCGGTATACTTACCAACAACAATATTCCACGCGAATAGAAAATCGGAATTCCCTTCCTCGTTAAAGGAAATGTTCTCGTTCAAATTAAAAATTCCTTGCCATCATCGAATTCTCGTGCGAGAGGCAAAATTTTAAAAAGACTCGTTCGTTAACGAAATTTTTTTCGCGAATACCCGTATATGTCGCACGATAAACACGGAAAAATTGCAAAAAAAAAAAAAAAAAAAATCAAGCATATATATATATGTGGACAAAAGAACGGGACGCGGAATCGTATTTAATTAAACGAACGTAGCGATCCACCGTCACTTTGTACAACGTTAACAATGCAGCTAATAATTAATAATCCGTATAAGAAGAGCGTTGTTCCTGTTCATCGGTATCGGGTCACAGATTCTACAAAGGGCGGATGTATTCGAGGAAAACAGTTCGAGAGGGTTGGATAGGATTCTAACGCGTGCACATTTTTTCCAACCAACCAGGAAGAAAAGAGAAAACCCGGTGTATACGTCCCCTTTTGTAAGCTGTAATTAATATTCTTTGCAATTATGTTAGCTTACTCGGATCCGACAAAGCGAGACACCGTCTGATAAAATTACAGGAGGAAGGCATGAAGGGGAGAGGGGGGGGGGAAGGGGAGAGGGACAAGGAGCTTTGGTAACTGCGAAAAGAAAAGCGATAAACAGGAGGTGCGTTAATTAATTTGCTAATTAAGGAAGGAACGGAAGTTGACGTTGGTCGATGCGAATTTGAGATCCTCTTGCCTTTGCGATTAAAGATGCCCATTCCCGTTCCATGTTGTTTTTAATTTTGATCCTTAATTCGTATAATTTAATAGGAAATTGTTGATATTATTCTTTAATTGAAAATTATACAGTAGAAATAATTTGTACTTTTCGATTTTTAATTTTTAAATTCAATCTCTCGATCAAGCAACTTCATACTGTTGCAACTTTTTTTTTCATTTGATTTTCCGATTATAATATTCAACTGTAATGAAAATAAATTTATGTATAGCGAATTTAATAAAATTTTCAAAATTTTTTCTTTGATTGGAAAATTGAAAAATCTAGATTTTTTTTTCTACTATCTGATAATTATTTTCCATTGTTCATTGCTAAATAATTATAATATTATATTTTGATATTCGTATAAATTTTATGAATTTTCAAAATAAGAAGGAATATCTCGTTTAAACTTTAAATTAAAACCTATTCAAATATACGAAAATTAAGTGTAAAATTTTGAAGAGAAATTGGAATTTTCTGAATGATAAATCTATTCTTTTCTTATTCTATGATAAAAATATACGGCGTGAGTAAAATTGCAAACGACGGTTAAAGTCATATTAAAATCCAATTTCAGTTCGGTAATAAGTGGAACACGAACTAATTTAATTGTCTTGTCTCTCTCTAAAATTTCTGCAATCTACCAGAGATCATATAACTTTAGTTATTCCAAGAGTGGTTCACGTTTCATTACGTGATTAATCCCGGTCCAATTCTGATTCGAACATACGATGTAGAAAGATATGGGCGAAAAAGCACGATGCGATTCGTACGTCTCACCTGAATGACAGTCGCCAGAGGACTTTTATTAGCCGGATAGTCGAGGCTGTCCCGATGTGCCCATGCCAGGGGTTCGTAAGTGCTGTGATTGGCTTGAAAAATGGTCCAGTCACCGCCAGGAAGTGGTCCCCAGGCCGTTTCCCCGGATCTGGTTAATCGGAGGATAGGAGATGCCGCGTTCAGTTGTGCATCCTGAGGGAGGAAAGACCGATCTCATTTTGTCAGCAACTAGGGAACTTGTTGCCTATACGTGAATAGTTTTCCTGATTTTATTTTTTTCTTCTCTTAATTTTGAGAAGAAAGAATAAGAATCGAAAATATCCATAGTATAAAATTTCATTATAAACGTTCTGATATCATTTTATTATATCAGATTTAAATTATTTTAATATCATGTTTTTAGAAAATTTTAGATTATTTATTAAGATCTTTGCTTCATGTTATAGATTTTTAACTATCATCCATTCTTCATGTTCAATTTAATATTCTACTATTCGTATAAAAATTGATTTTTGTTATTTTTTTTAACATGAAATATATCTTTTATTGTTAATATAATAGTAAAAAAAATTGACGATTTGTTATTTGTTATTTGTTAAAAAAATGTCTCTTTTTATATTTTGTCAAATCCATTAATATAAAGATCTTCATTTTTGTAATTGCATAGTAATTATATATTTATAAACGATTCCTCTAAATTAACTAGACATATATAGCTTTATATGTTATTATTTAGTATGAACTTGAAAAAAGAAAAGAAAAGCGTTACGTTTGCCTTCTTTTTATTTTTCTTTATTGATGAAGAGACAAAATTGAAAATAGTAAAATCGAAGCAATGCGAAGTTGAATATACGTTACCTCCAAAGAATTCAAATAATCTATCATATAAATTTTTATTTTTTTGCTTTCAATAAAATAATTATTTATCTTTTCGTTTTTATTGATTGATATTTATAATGCAATTTGATGTAGAGAAACATCAAATCATCATATTAAATTGAGAAAAACATCATCATATTAAATTGAGAAAATAAAGTATAAATGAGGAATTAATTAAATTCATTTTTAACAAATTCAATAATAATTAAAATAATAATTAATAGTTTAGTGGAAATTCGAGGATACGATAGAGAGATATTGCTACTTATGTTATTTTTTAATATCGTATTGATTATCCCATTCTTTTATATATTTTAAATGAATTATAATACTCATTTAGAAAATATTTAATAATATTATATGAATAATATATGAATATATATCATATGAATAAATTAATAAATTTGATGGAATTAGAAGTATTTTCCTTTATAAACACATTTTTAAAAATATGGATTAATATTAAAGTACAAATAAATAAAGCGTGATTGAAAAATTCTATTGAAGTCGCATTAAGTAGATAAGATAATTCGTAAAGTAGAATAAGCATCAGACAATTACATAATCCGCACGTATCTACTTTTACGGAAATTTACGGAAATATATTCTGTGTTGTTAAAATATTTTATTAAAATCGATGCATTTCGTTAAATTTTTAAGATACATAAATTTCTATGAATTATTCAAAGTTATGAAAGATTTTGATGTTTTAAAAGTTCACAATAGACTACAACTAAAATTTTGTTTATATAAGAAAAATACATTTAATTCAATATTAAAGTTAGAAATAATTATTGCTATAAATAAAAATTTTTTAAAATTACATATATTTTCAATATATATACTGGCCAATATATGCAATTAGAACAACTTTTTCAATATTTCAATATTTTTTTATATTTTTAGTAAAATTTAAAAGCCAGTTCGAAATTTAATTACAAATTTTATCAAATATTAATATATTATATATTAATATATTATAAATTACGATATATAATATCTTATTATTTTCTACTACATTTTCCATAGCTAAGCACTTCTCCTGATATGAATTCAAAGAATAAAAATCTGGAATCTACTTAAAATAAAATATTTATATATATCTAAAATATATTAGCTGATTCAAAAAAAAAAAAAAAAAAAATTCGATATTTGGCAACATCATTCAAGAATAAAGAATAGTAATAAAACGATATATATATTTTATCATATACATATGCTATTAATATATTAAATTATTAATGTGTGTGTATGTATTTTAGTAAATAAAAATGTTAATTAATAAAACTATAATTAACTATTAAATATCGTCCAGGCCATTAAATTTTATCGAAAATATGAAATATGTTGAAAATTGTGAAAATGATTCTAATTTTTTTAACCAAGATGTAAATCCATAGTTCCATTATAATGATAAGTATCTTCAATTAAATCAATAGATACCAATTTACTAATTTATTTTGTAATGCATTAAACTTTACAAGATTTCATTTCACTTTGCTATAAATTATTACGAAAATTAATGTATATATCACTCTATATATATGTTACAATTTTCAAAGCGAATTCATTTACATAGTTACCATTTTATTTTTTGAAAACAAAAAAAGAAACAAGGATACGGCACAGATTTACAGTTTTATTCAAGCCAATCAACATGTGTCACGGTAACGTTGAAAGAAAGAAGCAAAATCGCAGCATATATTGCCTATCGGTAATCGTACAGACACGCACGATTTCATGTCGCATGCAAATTGATTCACCGTGGCAACCTTTTCCCGCGAAACTCGATAAACCGTTTGGGGGCACGTTTGTCGTATTGCGAATAACGGTTTCAGGGATCGATGCTTTTATTACATAGATGCTCTCTCTTTCAAAGTTTTCTGGTTGCAATTTTTCCACGGAATAAACTTGAGGATCGTTTCGTCACAGTAACGGAGATTGCCAATACTCGTTTCGCGATTCTTTCCGCTCGTCTCGGACAACAACCACTATCCCGGCCCAAAACATTATCAAGTACTATGACGAAATTTATTTTCTGACAGCCAATAAGAAACCACGGCCATCTCGCGATCTGTGAATGTGTTTCACACTTGAGAAAATTGCTTTTTCTCGATTGTGAAATCATTGAGCGTCTCGTTTCGATTGGAAACTTCTTTCAAACGGCTCAGGACACGCCGTTTAATCTTTGTTTATAATTACAAATTCTAATTTCTTTTTTGTTCGGTAATTTTTTTTTTTATTTTAAAATCAACGAAATATCATCATTAGTTGAAATTAGAAAGATATTTCTATATTGCGATATTTCATTGATTTCCATGTAAATATGAGGGAAGGATTCACAGGAGAGGAAAATTTGAAAATGTAAGTTCTTACCATAACAGGTGACTGGTTGACGGAGGGAGAGAAAGGAAGGCTTCTCTTTGGAATAGGTCAAAAGATGAAAACCGTTAAGGAGAATCCAGCGGGATATTTAACTGTATATTCAAGTATAGATTAGTTATTTTGCAAGTCAATTATAATTATTTCATTATTGTTTGATATTAATTCTTATATCTTATATTTTAGATATTCTTGTATCATATTTAATTATGTTTATATAATTAACACTAGAATTATCAAATCCTTTAGAATAACTTTAAGGTTGCAGATTTTTTTTACTTTACAATTATAATTGTTTCATTATTGTTTGAATCATTAATTCTTATATCTTATATCTTAGATATTCTTGTATCATATCTAATTATGTTTATATAATTAACACTAGAATTATCAAATCCTTTAGAATAACTTTAAGGTTTCAGATTTTTTTTACTTCTTTTTTAACAATAAAATGCACGATGATTTTTATCAAATTGATTTTTATATTTATTCATGTTACTATTCTAATCCTATATGCAATATATGATGCAATTACGAATGCATGATATTAATCGCAATCATTTCTAATATTTAATTTATCTTTTCCAACGAACCTTCAGCCTGAGATTAGTATGCACGAACAAAGGAAAACCCTTCAGCTGCGCACCGACGAGACTTTCCTCGCCGGACGGCGCGAATCCCACGATGCCGACCGAATACTCTCTGCAATATTTATCTAGCAATTCGCGATTCCACTTGTCCATCTGCAGGTACTTGTTCAGATTTTCAAAGATTAAGACACCGTATCGACCTTTGTCCAGATTTGTCAACACGGGTAGAGACTTGCCAGCCACTTCCAGTTTGTATCTGAAATTATATTTCATTTATTTTTAATTCGTAATCCAACTTTTATTACAACTTTAATCTTCTGTATATAATATTCAAGCATATATAAACGATAAAAAAACTTTTTCAAATAATAAAACTTCTCACTGAAAATTTTCTTTCTTCGCGATTTAAAATAAAAATAATCTCGCGAAATTTATAATCATCGAAATACGATAAACAAGACTCATCGTACAATTCTAACGTTAACATTCGTCTCGAATAATTTCAAGAAAATTAATCAAGCGGTGGAAAATAAATAATTAATCGCGAGATTAAAATTTTTATATATAAAATAAAAACTGCGAGCGAATCAATGAAAGAAAAAAAAAAAAAAAAGTTCGCAGAGCTTTTACACGCGTTAATATCCGCGAATGTCAACGATACTCAAAGATCGCAGAAAATCACGAAGAAACAAGAACGAATCCTCGTTTCAAACTTCTTTTAACTCTTCTTATTTCCCTCGTGAGATTATGCAATAAACCAAGGATCGCCTCGAAGTTAACGTGTTCCTCGAAACGGAATAAACGGTTCCCGGTCCACCCCCTTTATACCACCCTCTCTTCGATCCGCGTCATCAATTTCATCGGCGTAAACCGTTTCCATCGACGAATATTTAGACGCGAATGTCGATCCGCGCGGGGCAACGGCCTTGCCCGATACTCGTTACGGCAATTTCAATCCGCCTCGATGCCTGGTGTATCGGTTATTTAAAACAAGGACAGGGGGGGGGATGGATAATAAATACGAGACGAGTGAAAAAAAAAAGAANGAAAAAAAAAAAAAAAAAAAAAAAGAAAATGGAATATCGATGGAAAGAAGCGGCGCAACGAGCCAGAATCGTTATTGTTAAACGATAAAACAGGGACACTTTTATCGAAATCCCATTTACGCGGCATCTGAAACGATTTCGAGAATAATAAAGCAATTATACGTATAATGTACCTTTACATTTTTGCCACTGGTTATCTTCAAATCTTTTTTCCTATCTTTTTTTTTCCTTTCTTTCTTTCTCTCTCTCTCTCTCTCTCTCTCTCTCTCTCTTTCTTTCCTTTTTCGTTCCTTTGCCGTTTTCCTCGATTTTTAATAACATTTCGAATCCCATTCCAACCCCGTTCATCTACACGAACGTCGATGTTCCATGCCGATAGAATATCAGAATTTTTATTCGAGCACGCCTGCTTTTTATTCGCGCTGCCGTCCGATAAAACGACTTTATCGTCGAAATAAACCGATGAACCCCCGCCGATCAGGATTTTCCGAGGTGTTTCGCGAAGAATGCGACAGGGGCTTTCGAATTTATTGGCAACGCGTGGGCGACAGTTTACGATAGAACGGGCAAGTACCATCGATATCAATGATGAATTGCAGTAACGTATGAATTGTACTCGGCTTGACAGACTTAAAAATTATTAGTGATATGCAATTATTTCTCGTTAGATAGTCGATGAAACAATGTTTGATCGATTATAAAATATATATATATTTTTTTTAATAAATTTCAAGAATTTAGAGATCAAGTATGTTTCATATACACTTAAAATTAAAACTTAAATTTTATTAATGTTGAAACAGAAAATTTTAAAGCTTTAATTCTAAAGATATTTACTATATTTATTCTCTCATTCTTGACAAATCTCAAATTCTAGACAAGTAATAAATGTTGTTCCTGGAAGAACATAGTATGCATTTCCAAGAAAAATATTTAGAACGCGGATTCATAATTTCTGCAGTGTATTAAGTGTTATGAATAACTTGAATTGGATATTTTTGACGAATAAAATATTTAATTTCTCCTCAAATTTTTTTTTTTTTTATAAAAAGTTCAAAGCGTGATTATTATGATTTGATATCATCGTGCAAAATATGTATAGTAGGAAGAAGAAGATAATGTTCAGTTTTGAAATCATTTATTATATTACAGTTGAATATTCAACTGTAGTATATCAATTCAATTTGAGTAATTGAAGCCAAAACTTTGAAAGATAGACAGATGCATTCTGATGCATAATTTTAAGGGAAAAATGTTCCTTGTTGTTTATTAGAACTCTCGATATTTCGATCGTCGTTTAACAAGAGCGATATCTCTATCTGGTTTGAAACTTGGCATCCATCCAAATTGGAGCCATTACAAGTTATTCTTGAAACGATCCTTCGGAAATACTTTATAATCACATCCTCAATTATTGTTAAAAAAGTTAAAAAAAATTCTTAATCAACAGATAATTGCAGTTTATATCCCATTCTAATAGTTCTATTCAAAAACAACCGTCTATCACGTTCGTTGACCGAAGACTCTATCTATGGGATAAGCTAACATATTACTTATGCGATGCGATAATATAAACAAAAAAAAAAAAAAAAAAAAAAGAAAGAAAAATTCCTAATACAGCATCTCAAAACAAGCTTATTGTTTCACATTAATCAGATTAAACTTAATCGCAAGAAATTCATGTGTAGACCCTGTAATTACTATATACATATATGTATATACAGCTCCTCCCTCTGCATATCATCCTCCCCCGCAGCGCTCCTAATTAACCTATAAACCTGTTATTAAAACGAGCAAATCAGATTACCATTCATAACATTATCATGAACCTTCTCTCTTACGATCTTCCACCGACTTGTACCACTCCTTTCAAACTTAATCGCGTTAACCTTATCGCTCCACGCTCGTCCATCCAGACGTTTTCCCCCATTCACGGCCGGCAATTAACGTTCGAGTAACAGTTTTATAACGAGCCGTTGGCGAGAAACTCGTGAAACTCGTCGTAATTTCGCGCGAATAAGCAGGCCGGACACCACCGATGCGATGCCAAATGCTATCAACAGTTTACGGGGTCGGGAGCGTGTTCGCGTGTCATGGAAGAAAATTGCAGTTAACTAATGAATGAATGCAGGATAATTCAGCGTTCGTAATCGGTTCGATAATTGGCAACCGCCCATTAACGACAGCCCGACAATTTGCCGAGTTAACGAACTGTCATAACGAACTCCGAACGTGGCTCTTTTGTTCTTGGCCGGCAATTGCCGCGCGAGCCAATTCCCGGACGTATGCTCGAAACGCGTGCATCACCAAACCCTTGCCAAGATATCCTCCGGGAAGGGGAGGGGGTGGAAGGAAAGAGAGGGAACGAGAGAGGATGTTTCAAAGGCGGTGGCGATGGATCGATGGATCGGATCCATCCCCTATTGAAAAACGAAATGGCTGCAATTAGGAGTGTTTCGCGTGGTTTCGCGAGTATCGGTCGGGCGCAGGATCGACGAAGATTATGGTGATGGTTACTGTACTAGTTATCGAGTGGAATAATTGCTTCCACCTCTTTGAATCGAGGATGGAGAGAGTGGTTGGTGGTGGGTTGGTAGGTTGGCCTGTAAAAGGAACTTTGGTTTAGTTTTGATGGATGTAGTTTTTCGTATCAATGGCTTTGAGGTAATTGGAAATGGCAATGCGATCGAATAACGCGTCAAGCAGAGATTTTTAACGGTTCGAATTAAGAATAGAAGTTATTTTAATTGAATTACTTTAATATTTTATTATTCAAAGCATCGATGTAGGATAACTAGTATTAGTATCGAATTGACTTATAAGCGTTTTAAGTGAAGTTATTATTCAATGTATTCTGAATTTTAATTAGTTTTTCAAGCTTGACAAGCTTTCTTTGCGAGAAAAATGAAAAAATATAGAATAAAATTTTTTGTTCGAAAAATTTTTCAAGATTATCGAGGTTAATATCTATTATATATACATAATTATGGCTAAAACATGTTTGTGTAAAATGTCGATTTTATTTGTAAACAGTACTTATGCAATACTTTAAGAATTCTAGATGCAATTGATCGGTATTTTATTAATAGTATTTTATTATTAAAAATATTTTATTAATAATAATAAAAATGATATTCTTTTCCTTATACACAATTGTTTCTTCTATTAATTAGAATATAATTATATCAATAATTAGATAATCTATATTTCAAATATGTTTTCACAAAATATTGTTTATAAGAAGGATTGGCATTATAAGGAAAAACATATTTTAGTCTGAATTGTATACATATAATTGTATATATATGTAATAAATGAATGTTTAAATTCGATTATTTTGAAAACTAAGATTTGAAAAAAATAGAATTAAAAAAAAATATAATTCTATTCTATTTCCTTACTTTTTCAAGAATTCTCGGTATTATTCGGTTGCACTCTATATAATAAGTGATAGAAATTTTAATTTTGAGAGATTGATAAATCTCAATTTTTGAATCCGCTTTATAGAAGATAATTGATGAAAATATATATTTTAATTATTATTTTAATAACGTTAAAAATTTGACAAATTTTGAGAACTGACATAACAAAGTTCTAGAATTCATTTTAGAGTAATCAAGGTTGTTGTTGTTATTTCATTCAACAAAATTAATATATAGAAAGCATAATTGAATACCGTAAAAACACAAAGAATTCAAATTTTTAATCGTGCAAATTTTAATCTTCGCGAATTTCGTTTAATTTATCCTCGGTTTCCGGTATAAGTTTATTTAATTGAATTTATCCATTGGTGCTCTTAATGATATTCCATAATTTGTACGTTCCGTGTCTGCGTTATTCAAAGGTAGAAATTTTTTTTACATATTCATAATGCAAACAATACAAATTATTAAGACCATCCTCATTATTGAATGCTGTATTATTTTAAACATTAGCTGGAATCAACTGAATTGAATACACTATCAATTAGCGATGTTATGAGGGAACGGATTAATTGAATTTCTGTTCGAATAATTGAGAGAAAAAAAAAAAAAAATCGATATTATGTGACAATCCCTCGAATAAAAAAACTGCTTCAATTCAAGAATCACGAGGCTCTTATTCGTTTCATCGCATTTTATATTTTAAAACTCGTCTTATTATCTCTTCCCATATTCCCGGAAATAAATTACGTTATTACATGTAAATATTTAATCACACAGAATTAATA